TGTGTGTAGGTGTTGGGCTAGCCTTGGGCTTGTGTGTAGGTGTTGGGCTAGCCTTGAGCTCTCCAGTGGGTGTTGAGGAAGCCTGAGGTTGACGAGGTTCTGGGATGTGTCCACTTACGGTTTGGTCAGATCCATGGACAATGGCCGCGCCTGGGACGCCCTTCTCCTGACCTCTGGCTTCGCCCCTGCGCTTTCCACAGTCCAGCCTTTGATCCGAGCCTGAACATTCACGCCAGCTCTCTCCGGCTCTGGCACTGTGGATGGGGACTCAGGGGTCATAGGGGAGGGCTCAGACACCACTGCCAAGGCCACCGCGCTCTCTTCCTCAAACAGACTGAGGCGCTTCCTGATGCTCCCTACAGACTTCCTCTCTGTCCCTGCAGGAGCCTCCTGGTCAGATCCTCCAGCCTTGACCTCGGCCAGCCCCAGGCCTCTTCCTGGCCTGGGCAAAGGGGACTCTGGCACCTTCTCTGACTGCTGGTCTGGCCTTTCCTCTTCCTGGGGACTCGGATCATCTCCAGGGTTGGCCCTGGCCCTGGGAGTCCTGGGACTGTCTGCATCTGCCTGCTTAAGGACGGTCTTCTCCCTCCGTGCATGGAGCTTCTTGGCCACCTCCTGGAAGTCTGAGTCAGGGTCCTGAGGGGTGGCATCCATGCGGGCAGGGCCCTCTGCATCACCCTTGGGTTCCATGCTGGTCCTGGTCCTCTCCGGGCCCTGGTTCTCTGCTGCATTCTGCTCACTGCCCACCTTCCTCAGCAACATCTCTCTGTTCTCGAACACAGCAGTCAGGTCCACAGACAGAGGCCTGGGTTTCCTCACCCACGTCTTCTCCGGAGGTGCAGGGGGGACTTTGCCCGTGACTGCCACTCCACCTGGGCCTGGCTTCGGGGGCTGCAGGTACTCGCTGAATACTGCTGACATGGGCCGTCTCTTCAGGTGAGGCTTGGCCTCTGGGGCCTGGCCAGCGGGGTCCTCCACACTGTGGGCCTTTGGCAAAGGTTGGGCTCGGCCTGCCTCCTCCTGGGACACAGTAGGCCCAGCGTCCTGTGACAGGGAGGTTGGTCGGGGTAGAGTCACTGGAGGCTTTCGGGCGGGAAGGGCAGGCTTGGTGGCCACCTCAGGCCTGGCACTTAAGGGAGATGCCTGGGCTGCCCGGGAGCTGGCCTCCCGGCTCCCCTCACTGGTTCCTTTGCCCAGGCTGGGTCCGGCTTTGGTTGTTTCAAAGATGCCCATGGTGCTGGGGCCAGCCCTCAGGAACGTGGCCTTGTTAGGTACAGAAGGGCCATTCGGCAGGGTCTCCCCTCTGTCTGCCTCCTGGCCGGCTAAGCTCGGCATCCTTTTAACCACGTCCTCTTTAGCGTCCTTCTTGTCAGCCTCAGTTGAAGGACAGGACTGGGTGGCACCAGGCCACGAAGATGTGGCAGGAGCCTTCTTCTCTGGGACCTGCTCCTTAAGGAAAGGCTTGGGAGCAAGGGGCAGAGAGAACAGGTGGGTCCCTAGGGGGCTTTTCGCTCTTAGGATCCTAGTGGAGGGAGCCCCGGAGGCGTCCCCAGTCTGGCAAAAGTAGGTCCTCTTCAGGGCTTCCTCCCTGCTGATGTCACCGAGGCCCGGCCCCGCCCTCAGGGATGCGATGGAGCCAACTTCGACCCGCGTCACCATGGTTACGGATGTAGCTCCATGAGGATTAAGCACATCAGAAATGAAGAAGCGACTGCTTAAAAAAAAAAAAATTTTAAAACAGTAAATTTAGTAAAGAGTATTTGTGGGACTCAGGGGGAGGGTCTGGGGGGAGGAGACTGAGAGACCTTGGTCCCAGAGCCCCAGATCCTGAGCTCACTGGGCAAGCTCCAGATGCACTGCCATCTTGCTGGGTCCTGGAAAGGCGCGGACTGCAACCTCCTGTTCAGAGGGGTCAGGCAGAGCCCTGCAGTCTGAGGCATTGCCTGGCTTAGCCGGTCTCGGGGCCAGCTCCAGTGTGGACCCAGCACGATCCTGGGCTGAGCACCCACCCGGCACAGAGAGGGTAAGTAACCACCCTCAGCTCACACAGCCACCCAAAGCAGGAGGCCCTGTAATCACACCTTGGGAAGTGGCCATGGAACCCTGCCAGCTGCCCTTCCCCCATCTCCCTGGCTGCATGCCAACAAAAGGCAAGCCTCGGGTTTTATTTTGTCTCGTTTTATGTTCCCTAGACCCACTGGTGTCTGTTGGCTGTTGGTTTGGCTGTTGGACAGCTGTTTGTGCCGGCTTCCTTGTTTGTTTTGGTTCTGCAGAGGTGAGAAGGGAACCCCGGGCTTCCTACATGCTGCCCAAGCTCCACGCTGAGCCAGGCCCAGCCCCTTACAGTCTTAGCAAGAGGGGTTCTGGGATGGCTGGGATGAGGGCTCATTGTGAGAGGCCTAGCTACGCCCAGTGCATCCGGGACTCCCCATGTTCCCGTCCACCCTGCAGGCCGGTCTCACTTCCCACTGGCCAGGATGCCCCGGCCTGACTTGCTCAGCTCTGAGATCTGCTCTCAAAAGCAGGAGCCACCGAATCCTCCAGCAGCTCAGAGGTGGGAATGATGGACCTTGGGCTTCCTGGAGTGGAAGAAAATGGGCCCAGAGAAGTCCCCAGGTGGTTCCACTCAGCTAAAACCAGACCTCCCATCCTGACCCATTATGCCCAGCCTTTTGTTTGTTTGTTTGTTTGTTGAGACAGGGTCTCAGGTAGCCAAGGCTGACCTGGAATTCCCTACCTAGCCCAGAACAACCTTGGGCTCCTGCGCCTCCCGCCTCCACCCACCAGGTGCTGTGATTACAGGTGTGTGACGCCCCATTGGGCTTCAGCCCTGCCTCTTTAAAAACCCAGCTTTTTATTTCTTCCCAATCCTAAAAAGCATCCTGTGAGTCTCTCTGCTCTTGGCTCACCCTGCTTCGGCTATGACAGCCGTCCCTTCCCAAGTGCCCCAGAGATGGCCCAGCCCTCCAGGTGCTGGCAAGGGAGACAGTGTCCCAATGAACCAGGGACCTCCCAGGCCTTGTGTAGCTCCTCATGGCAAGAGGTGAAGGCAGACGGACGGATTTTGGTATTTTTCTCTTTGTCACACACCCCATGGGCTAACATAGTCTAGCTCCCAAACGGTGAACCTTGTCTCCACTCAGCTGGGGGCCGTGTGGAGATTTGGGAGACCCAGGAGCCTGACGTTTTCCATCTGAACAGTCCCCAGACAGAGCTCTACAGTCCCCATTCCCACCCCAACCCAGGGATGCTCACTTCAGAGTCACGGTGGTCTCTCAATCCACAGCTCACACCCAGCCAGGACCTGGGTCACTGACAGCGTACAAAGGACAGACAGAAAACGCCCCGGCAACCTCACCTTCCCAACACCCAGCCCCCAGCTCAGCACCCACTCACCCAGGCTGTCAGGTCCCGGGCGAGGGACACAGGTCCACCGGGGAGTGCCAGCAGGGTCACAGTTCATGGTGAAGTGGCTGTCCACTCGCGCCCATGGCGGAAGCGGCAGGGAGAAGAAGGCTGTGCCCACAGGCTGTCTCTGCAGGGCTGGGGAGACAGAAAGACAGCTTGGTTCCGGAGTTCCTTCCGCACAGACGGTGCAAAAGCGTTCGGGTTCCAACTGCATCCGCTGGCGTCTCCTCCAGCTCTGAGACTCACACTGCTTCCCGCTTTATATATTCACGCACAGTGTGCACAGAGTGCTGGGTCCACGCAGGAGCTCAGTAAATACCTCCCCTGCTCCTCAGACACATGTTTACTTAAGCACCTACTGTGTGCACTAATATGAACTAGAGACCCCCTACAACCATGGAACTCATAGTTTTGTGTGTGACACACTCACGCACACACATTCATGAACACACATTCATGCATGAACACATACTCATATATTCATTCACCTACTCATACACGCACCCACACACCGACACACTCATATACACACTCATTAATGAACACATATACTCATACACCCACACACACACTGAGACACTCATGCACACACATTCATGAATACACACTCATGCATGAACGCATACTCATACAGTCATGCACACACACTGGCACCCTCATGCACACACTCATTAATGAACACATACATTCATTCACGTACTCATACCCTCCCACACTGACACACTCATACACACACATTCATGCACACACTCATGCATGAACACTCACACACTCATGCACACACAAGCAGCTGTAATGCTGCATAGGAAGAGCAGAGGTCTATATTGGGATGGGGAGCCGATGACGGGGGAGGGGGGGGATGGGGTCCCACTAACCCAAAGACTGGTGCCAATGTTCTCAACCTGCAGGAGGTAGCTGCTAAACACTCAAGGTGTCTACAGCCATGCATGGCCGCACCCGCCTGCCATCCCAGTATTTGGGGAGGTGGAGACAAAAGGATCAGGAATGTACAGCCAGCCAGGCTACAGCAGAGACCCTTTCTTAGCATCTACACACTGAAGCCCCTGGAGGCTCTCAGAAACCGCCTCAGGGCCTTTGCACATGCTGGGCCGTATCTCTGGGATATGCCTCTCGCTCTCACACAGATGCAAACCTTGAGGCCACCCCTTGGGCTGTATTTCAGACATGCCTGGCCCCACGTGTGTGCTTGCAAAGCACTACAGACACCGGGAAGTCCACGGGACTTGCTGCTGGACAGCCACATTGACTAGGACATGATCCTCGCTCTACATTCAGTAGCAAGCTCCCAGGGCACCCCATCCCCTGCACAATGATTGGTCACAAAACAGCATGTAGTGGATAGCCACTGGATGCATAAATAGTTGCTGAGTGAATAAAGGAAAGGAGATAGTCTTCTGACCCGGATCCCCACTATTCTAAGCGGACAGCTAAGTCCCAATCCGGGTGCTTGCAGCAGTCGGGGCCTTGGAGTCCCAGTGCTCACTGAACACTCACCAACTCATCAAGAGCCCGTGGGTGCTCTCCCTAGGGTGGACACTGCATACACCTACAGTGACCACAGCCCTCTCATAGCCGTGGCAGCATGACAAGGCTCACGTGGACACAATGTGCCTCTTCATGGTTTTAAGAGGAAGAGTGTCACCAGGGCAGCCAACAGCACACAAATGTCAGCCACTGGGGGAGCCCTAAGCCAGCCCCGGAGGCCACGATGTCGTCACAGTCTCCAGTTCACACACACACACACACACACACACACACACACACACACACACACGCACACACACACACACTTGCACCAAGGAATCAATGACTTGGTGAACAGATCCATGAGCCAAAGAACCTTTGAAACCATGGAAGGGGGGTGCCTAAATCATCATGCCCAACCCTAGAAGCCCGGGATTCTCTGGTTTTTCACTGGACCTGTTGTCAATGGCAAGGAGCCCATTGAGATGCTTTTAAACCCAGCTCCAAACGCAGCGCATATGCTACGCCCAATTTGAGATGGCAGTCTCTCCCAGAACGCAACCGAAGTGGGCCCACTCGCACAGAACCAGCTGCTATCTATTCCTGGGGTGGCCTCGCTCACTCTGTGGAAGCGCAGAATTGACACACGCCATGAGTAAAGCCAGGTAGCTAAGAGGTCCTTAGAAAAAGGGAGGAGGCTGAGTCTAAACAGGTCTGGTCTGGTCGTGTGTGTGTGTGTGTGTGTGTGTGTGTGTGCGCGCGCGCACACGTGCACTAATTGACTGGCTGGTTGATTTCACAGGACAGAGGATTGCATTCAGGGTCTTCTGCATGCTAAGTAAGGGCTCTCCCAGTCGCTGGTTCATACATGATCATGGAAATCATGGGACACAGGCAGATGACAGGGCTCCTCTGGGAGTCGGGAGGCTGGCTGCAGGAGGAGGACAGAGATCAAGGCAGCCCCAAAGCGTAGCTGTAGCAGAGACTAGCGGCGGTCCCTCAGCTGTTGCTGAACCTGGGAGACACACAGGCTTTGGTCTCTCTGAAGCCCCTGGCCAACTTCACATCCCACTCCCTGCTGCTACGCGTGGGGGAACCACCGGTGGGAGGAACAGTCCAGCCACCCCCAGTGCAGGAAATGAGACAAAAGTCACTGGGAAGTGCTCTGGGGGACATCCTTGGGACCCTCCCTGCAGAGCCCAGCACTCTGTGGCCTGGGCTGGGGCTGCTCAAGCTCCCCGTTCAGAACCAGAGCTTAGCACAGAGAGGCTCAGCTCCCAGACTAGGGGCCTTGATTCATCGCCGCAGCTGCTGCCGTTCTGCGTCACGCAGCCTTCAAATGGGTCTGGATGCTCACCAGGCATTTGCCGCGCCGTCTCCGTCCCGGGAATGCCACCATCTGGCAAGGGATGTGGGCTAGGACTGACACCTTTTCGGCATCTCCCACCACATGACCCCAACCCCGGAATCTGCAAAGCCACCCTGAGCAAACCCCATCACTGTGGGAAGAGCCACGAAGGGACTGGCTAGTGTCCTCTCCACGGAGCAGGGCTGCGGGGCACACAGATCTGTCCACCACAGACCCCAGGTCGCCGGCAGCGGCGCAGAGTCATTGGGTCAGATGTCACTGGAGTGCGTTCATTCTTTCCTGGGTCCCCACAATGGCAGCCTCATGCCACCCGCCCCTGTGCAGGTAGTAAGCACCTACTCTAGGACACGGGCTGATGGTTACACACACACACACACACACACACACACACACACACACACACACCCCACAGCCGAGCTTCCCTGGTCCTGCCTCCTGAGCTTGTTTCAAGTAGCAATCAGTTCGGGTCGCGTATTGAATGCAGGCTTATTTTATGGACTGTGCCTGGCTCCTCTCGTCCTGTGGTCTGCAGAAGCTGCTGGGAAGAGTATGGTCCACATGCCACCCGCCCCAGGGTAGAGCAGAATTCAAAATGTGAAGTATGGCTTCTGACAGAATGCAGCTCCTGCACTGTGGGGCAGCCGAGGAATCGCAGGTCCGTCTGTCCTGAGTAGGGACTGTCTGTTAGAGCCACACTCCTGCAAGCAATGGCTGCCCAGTGCCCCTACGCTGCACCCCCCCCCCCCGTTGTGTCGTCCCTCACTGGACATTTGATATCAGTGGGGCCTGGGTCCCCCTGCCCCATATCTTTCTGTCAGCTTCTCTCCAGACAGGACCTGGCCCCCAGGCTCTTCTCTGTGGCCCAGGCCAGCCCCTCCTGCCTCTAGTCTCTGACCTGAGAGGTAAGGTCCGGGACCCTTGATGAGTTCTGCCACTCAGACTTGGCTCCCTGCGGCAGGCATGTCCCAGCACAGGCCAGCTTCCTGGATCCCGGACTCGGTTCTGAATCTCCCTGACAGAATAGGTGCTCACTTACGGGAGCCAGATGAAAACCGTGCTCAGCAGCTGCCTAGATGCAGGGGAGGTGGAGCTTCCAGGCAGCATGTCCTGTGTCCCTCTGCAGACAGCCACAGGGTTTCACTATCCCAAGTGCCCCATCCCTGGCTCCCCCTCTGCTCCAGCTCCCCTGGGCCCTCAGCCCTACAGTCCTACCCACAAAAGAATGACAGGGACAGCTATATAAAGGGTCTGAAGAGTTCACAAGTAGCCCTCAGTGACGTACAGGACAGGACTATTCTCCACAGCCCCTCAAAGATCGAAGCAAACCGTGAGATCCCCCGGCCAGCTGTGCATCTGAAGTGTTACAATCCATCCCTACCCCCTGTCAGTAAACATCCGCCTTTTCAAGCTCCACGGCCAGTTCCTTCCTATAATTTGTGCTATTTTGGGACACCACAGCCACCCGAGAACCCAGTCATCAAGCAGCCTTCGACCCCTCTTGCTTTTCTCTAGATTGGGGCTGGCAAACTACAGTGTGGAAGCTAAGCCGGCCCTCTGCCTGGCTTTGCAAATAAAGTTTTATTGAGGCCGGACACCAAAGCCTCTTTTGGGAGCCACCGTCTGTGGCTCTGGGTGACAGCTCACCAGGGAAGAAAATGAGACATTTACCGTCATCTTCTACAGAACAAATGACTCCGAGGTGTGTACTGGGGTCCCCTCAGACACTGGGTCCCCAGGGCCAAGCCTACTCGGATGGCTCTGGTAATATTGCCGGCTTCTTCCAGGTCCACCTGAGGACTGTGAAACATGCTATTCCAACCAGCCGAACATTTGGGATTTCTGCTTGCTTTTTGAGACAGGGTCTCACATGGCTGACCTCAGATTCACCATGTAATCAAGGATGACCGTGGGCTCCTGATGTCCCTCGTTACACTGTGACCACACTCAGTGCTACAAATCAAACCCGGGGCCTTGAGCATGTTAGGCAGGCACACTCTACCAGCTGAGCCCCATACCCCAGCCCAGCAAGTTTGGTTTGGTTTTTAAATTATTCGTGGATGGGAGTGTGCACACTCGTGTGCCACAGCATTTGCACGGAGGTCAGAGGGCAGCTTCCCGAGCTTAGTTCTTTCCTCCGACCATGGGATAGATCGGACTCGGGTTGTCAGGCTTGTGTGGCAAGTCCTCACCGGCCCACAGGGGAAAATTAACCGTCTCAAACCCTACCACGGAGACCTGAAGGCCACATGGCATTCTGCCACACAGCCAGAACCAGTGGCCATTCCCGGTGTGAACAGAAGCCTGGTACGTGCTAGAGAGTGCCAGTTCACACTGCTGCCTCAGGACCCATTGGTCAGT